TAACGGATGTAGGGCAAAAATTAACATTATCATGATAATTATCACGATAACCATCACGATAATAAAAAGGTTTATTCGATCATTATGCACGTTGATTGGTTATTAGGTTTGGGATTACGATAAATGGTCGATGTCGACCAAATTTAGGTAGAAATGTAATTACCCCCTTTAGTCGGGTTTATGTAACATCGCTAATACAAAGAAAAACGTCGATTTTTATTTATACAGATCTCTATTCTTTCCCCGGTTTATTATTATTTTTTATTTACTGGCATACATACGTAAGTACCTTTGCGGTGTCCCAGATACGGTGTTTGACAGGAGAGATTTGGACATGTTATAAGAAAAAAAATGGTATCATTTTATTAATATGGCTTTTCAAAAAATTGAGAAATCGATGGGACAGTCAAAATATACAACTCTATTACCGGTATATACTTATATAAAATATATGCGCAAACACATTTTGAACGAAGACACATGCACGTACAGGATGTACAGGACGTAATCGTCATATTCCCTATATTCCCTTACATTATGATTTTCTCGAAAAAAGTGTAAATTTTTTTGTAAGACAGTACAAGGGATAATGTTTCAAAGACGATTCATGAATATGCACATAATTAAATAATTGCAATTTTTTTTTTTAGACTAACTAATAGTAATTCAAAATTTTTATATTTAGAATTTTGGTTGAAACTTTGATGACTCACGGAATAAATTTTCTAAACCCCTTCTATGATTTATCCTTATTTGGTTTGTGTTAATTAAAGATTTTTCAATTCGTACGGAAATTGTTATCCTGTATTCTATTTGTTCTATATACACGTATTTACATGTATTCCATATATTCCATACAGGCACCTATACTATCATTTTTTTAAACATGTTAACCAATAGTAATGAAGTTTTAAAGCACAGACCTTTGCTTGAGGTGATGAACTCTCAAAGGAGAATACAATCCGGCAAAGTTGAAAACTTTGAAAGAAGTTCGTAACCACATTTGAAGGTTCTTAACCACATTTGAATGTTCTTAACCCACAGAAAAAAATTATGTGTCAGGCAGAATGAATAGAAAAATCATCTTTAAATATTTTAAATATTGGCAAGCATTCATTTGAACATAGGTTTTTGAGCTTGTGACCTTTGTCATCATATACATATCTATACGTTTCATCCCTTAATTTTTTGAATTATCAATCAAAAATTCGAAATTCGAGTCAATTATATATAGCATAATACTTTCCTTTCTTGGAGACTACGTAGCTGCGCCCATTATAATATTATTTAAACTTACACAAATGTTTATTTTGCTATTTAAACATACAAACAAAACACATCGGATGACTTCATTTACAATCAAAATTATGCAGGATTGTTCGAATCAACAAAACATGTACAATTCAAATAGTAAGTTCAAATCAATCAATTGGTATCGTCTTTCTTTTCATATCTTAAATGATTTTCAGGGTATGAAATTCCTAGCTCGGTTTGATAAGCCTATATGCACTAATGGATTGTCTTTAAATAATTGGATTCCGACAGTAGCAGCTTAAATAATGCATAAATAAAAAGAATTTATAAAATGCTAATGAATTAATATAATTATCATTGTTAAGTGATTGAAACTTAAATAATGTAGTACTAATTTACCATTGTTTTAGTCATACTTTTATTTTATCGCTTGTTTTTTTTTGATCATTGGTTTTTAATTGTTCACAAAAAAAAATTTCCATTTTCAAACATTTCATAGAAAAAAATTTCTATTCTAAACATTTAATGACAAAATTTTCTATTTCTAAACACTTAGTGGTTTTTTTCATTCACATTCGTCCATCATATTCTAAATACCAATCATCTGCTGTTTTATTATGGCAAAGGGATTGAAACCAATGAATTGCAATGAATAGTTCTGTAACATCGATAATATTGATAATATTTATAATATTTATATGATAAAATAAAATATATTTTCAACATAAAAAAATTTTTATAAAAAGAGACCTTAATTGCAATTCCATCCTTTACGATTCCATTCTTTTTTACTCTTTCAAAAAATAACTTTAACAATGGACGTGAATCAAGATATCGATCTAGAACATATTGCCGTAAATGCTAATCATCTTTTCAAAGGATTGGACTCATTCTCCGAGACCGATGAAATTCAAATTATTCCTGATGTCCCTCCCGGGTACACTACACTCTCAGCTTCGATCCTCTTGGGATCGTCCTTCCCCTAAGAAATTTAAAGAAATTTAAAACTCCTATCATTACTCAATGTTAAGATTCCTGTTTGTCAACAAGTCTTCTGTTGAATCTCGCCATGGACATTTCCTCTTATAAGACATTATCAATCATTCTTCCTCTCTTATAGAAATTCTCTTATAGACATTATATTAATATTTTAATAATATTTTAATAATCTTTAATAAGTAATATATGAAGTAATTATGTTTATTTTATGGATCAAAGATCTGTCTGTATAAACATTTAGGCACATGCCTAAAAACACTTACCATCTACCCGATACGCTTAATTTTTTAATTCTTACATATCGTTAATACATAATTAATTAAATTATTAGAAATCCTATTTTTAGTATGCTAATACTATTTTTAATCTTCTTAATTGATTCGATAAAAGGTTTTTGAATTCTAATTCTGTTTATTATTATGTTACCGTTACAATATAAATGTACCTTTTTGATCGACCAATAAAATCATATGTTTGTGATACATAAACACGAGAATCGGATGTGGGGCATTTTGTTTATACTTATGCACCTCAAAAGTATTTCAAAGTATTTAAAGTTGGACTAAACAAGCAAAAATTACAATATGTACAATAAAATCATTATATAAGTATATTATATTAATCCATTATCAATAATTCGTCTTTCATGCGCGTACATAAATGATGACGTTAAATGAGATTTTTACAAATAACATTTCATCATACAAATAAATCATATAAATAAAAATGAAAGCCTTAGAATAAATTAACCCTTCTAAAAATTTGCTACGCAAATTCTTAGTATACTACATTTACCACAATCAGTTTTGGCAATTTATATATATCATATATATTTACATATAAGGTGCTCAATAAGTTTGACAAATTTAAATAATGGATTATTGTTTTCATTACTTATTTACTACTTATTTATCCGACAACTATAAATATGCAAATATACAATTAAAATCATTTGTTGTGAGTACTTAAACCAATAAGCGCAAATTCGCAAAGAAAACCAGTAAAAAATTGTCCAAATAGGAAATTGATTGAAAATGGGTAAAAGTTATTAAAAGATCTTTTAACGGTTCAGTAATATGTTTCATATATAAATGATATTATTACTATATTCTCTCCCGAGTTTATAGAATGTGTATTGTACATATATATTGTTTTAATAGAGCATACACATTTTATTGTTAGACTTTAATTGTTAGGCTTTATTGTTAGGCTTTATTGTTAGGCTTTATTGTTAGGCTTTATTGTTAGGCTTTATTGTTAGGCTTTATTGTTAGGATAGATTACATGAAGCTGGAAAAAAAAATCTATCTATATATTTACATGAATATATTCATTTCTTTGTAACCTATGGCTCGATTACTTCAGTCACAAGATCTAATCCCCCCTTAACAGTCTGTTGTTTTTGATTTTCTAGTCTAAAAATCTCAACTCCATTCCGAAACAAACTATAATTAGTAATCCAAACAATATAAAAAGAATTATTATGAATTGGTTCATTTTGATTTTCCATCAAATCTCTAAGAATAATATCAGCTGGAACAGGTATTTGTCGGCCTTGACTGTTTGTGAAATATATCCTTGCTATATCGAAGGTGCCTCTTTCAATTTTTGCTTGAACGTTATCGTCGATGTGGATAACATATATGTTATTTTCTTTGTAAGAAAAACGTCCCTTGTAGGTCATGATTTCGGAAGATTCGTTGATGAAATTTGTAGTTGACATTATTTTATAGTTTTTAGTTTCAAAAGTACGTACGTACAAGCGTGAATTATGAATATCAGATATGAATATGGTTATCAGATATCGATATGAATATTTACGTTTTTATGATCTCATGTGATTTATTGTGTTACACAAATGTGCAAGTGGAGGCTGCATTTTTGATATTCTTACTATGAATGTATCAAGAACGATATTTTGAAGCATCAAAACTGTAACTTTTTGTATCACTTTGCAGACCTAGTGTAGTGTCGGATAATTACTTATTCAAATTACTGGGCTTACGTATTAACGTTAAATGAAGATTTCAACAAATAAATTTATTTCAAGCAAATCACTGGATCTTTTAAAAATTATATTATAAACTTTATTATCGTAATTATTTTTCGTAATTAACATGGAATGGAACTGATACAATGAAGATGATAGTGAAGCAGAATTTGAACCTTTTTATTTAATTTATATTAAGCGTGTGACTTTACTATATAATTACTATCTAAATATAAAACTATAGCATATTTATTAAAATCATATCGTGTATTCTATAATTATAGTGTTATTAATCTAGCTATATATTTAAGTAGACTACTATAATTATAGTGTTTATTAATCTAGCTATTTAAGTAGGCTATTCAAATTCTTATTAATTAGTATGAGTATAAAGAATATTCGCTCATATACTGTATAAGTATTTAAAAAATAAGGAATTTTGCTAATTATACAGTATTGCTAATTATACAGTACATGTATTTGTTAGGCGTCACTTTCAAATTTCCGTCAATTAAAAATTGACGTAAGTAGCTTCAAAATTGTAAAATAACATATATTTACATATTAGTGATCAAAATTTTCAAATTTTGTAATGTTCTATTATTTTTATGCTGTATCAATTTATATCGATATTTATTATAATAACAGCTATTTCTTAGGTTTTGATTAATTTCTTGATTAGATACTTATTTGTAATATTTTTGAAGAGGTTTTATTAGTGCGTTAAGTTTTGTTGGAAACCTGCATTTCATAAAAAAGATGAATTTGGAAAAGTCATCAATCAAATTTTGCATCGTGAATAACTTTAAATAACAATACTTGTCTATCCATTTTTAGCCTATCGATGTTGAGAATTCGAATCTTTACGACAAGGTTACCTGGTTTTAAATTTAACATATATAGAAATTTTTTATTTATATTGACAAATAACGGTATAAAAGATTTCAATAGAAAAAACTTGAGTTTCATGGTTATTTTTATCCAATTAAAACATTCAATTCTTTGCTAACTCCAACTTCAATCAACTTTAAAATGTTAAAAACCTAAAATTTGAAATTCGGTTCACGTTTACTTGATGGGTTTTGTAAAAAAACTAGACAACAATTACATTTTGAAAAATCCATTATATATTTTTATGTTCAATACTTTTTTTTTTAAAGGCTTAATAAAGTATCGTCCATATTGTAACGAAAATGACAAACTTTTTTTTCAAAAAAAAAGTTTATATATTTTTAAAGCGATTTGCTATTTCCACATGGATATGCGTTAGGGTCAGGGGTTAGATTTTATACCATTAATCGTTTATGGTGTTCCGCACGGACCGGATCGGACGGATATTTCTAAGGATTCGGATTCAATCCGAAAACCGAATCGGATCCAAGCTTGGATCCGGATCCGTTTCAATTTCGGATTCTTTCGGATAGCCTTACTTTTATGTTCGGAATGTTTCGTAACATTAA